TATATATTCATAATATTAGAAAGTCTGTATCTAAAGGTAGCAATGAATATTAAGTTAATACTGTGAACATCTGTATTCTTGCTACACTTGATTAAATGTTTTATAGACTGACTATGGAGAAAAAATTAAAAAAAAAAAGAAAATTCACGATAATAATGATGATACCAAAAGTTAACTATAGGTTATCTTGTAACGCTTTGGAAAACAAAAGCCTCCTAAAAAATTTTCTTTACAAGGTAAATTGAGTTTATTGTCGAGTTCTGCCATTTGCGTATCAAATTCATCATCAATATCATCCTTTGTAGTAAAAGTCGTGTCAACGCATAGCGAAACCTTTTCATTTTCGAAACAACTGATATCTAATAATAGATCGAAAATATGTTCTTCATGAGAGCGCCATTCGAAACTAGATTCATAGAAGACATTATTGACAAGTGGAAGTCTTTGATGTACTTCTACTAAAGATATAACATTCGCTTCAATAAGGCTTTTCAATAGAAATAAAAATTGGTCAAACATTTGATGATATCTCTTCTGATTTAATAAATCAAATAATTTCTCCACAGCATCTCGATCAGATATTTGTTTGAGATTCTTTAACCAATCATTAAAATCAGCTAACCGATACTCTCCAATCGATTCTAACATCTGAAGGAATTCGACTGTTACGATACCAAAAAGACTATAAATGTTTATTGATTTTACAGCATCGATCGGATAATTTTTGGAATGAATATAAAGTTTCGTTTGGAATTCTTTTTCACCAAAAAAGCTATTTCTTACAGCATCACAAAATTTCTTTGAATGTTGTTTGCAAATAAAGTTTGCTATGTGAAGATAATTAGGTACAGGATCCTGAATATATTCATTATTATTTTTGTTAGATATATCATCATATAAATTAATAACAAACGTATTGACAGATTCAGGATGGATATGAAAATGCTCGACAATTTCATCAAGCCCATAGAAGTTGTTCGTCGCTCGATATAATGTTTGTTGTAATAATATTTGATATGTCGTTTCAGACGTGATATCCCATTTGTTTTTAAACCAATTCAACACTAGATGATGTCCTTTACTCAAAACTTCCATGAAAATTAAACAGAAACTCGCTCGAATAGAGAGAGTCTCTGGAAAGAATTGCTCGCAAATATTGGTTAGTATTTCTTTTATCTCGTTTGGAACATTGGAATTCTCTCGTAATAATTCTAATCGCAATAAACAATTTCCATAAGACAGCAAACAATCAGCTAAAACCTCGATTGGATATTCACACCAATAACAAATGACTCTTTCTAAATCACTTTTGATATTATCTTGCATAAAAACCTTTCTTTTATATTGATTGACATGAGCAAATATCGCATCAAGAGCATTAACAATGGCTTTTTGAATTCGAGGAAATCGTTGATTGTGAAGTAATGTGAAAATATATTGGTATAAATTGACCAATATGTGTTTTCTTGTTTCATCTTGAATCAATCTTTCGATAATCCATTTAACAACAATAGCAACATATTCTTCTTCAATAGAATTTGGAATTTGAAGTTTTTTATTCATAAACGCACAAAGATGTCGTAAAAGATAGATTTGTAAATCTTTCGAACAACCATTGATCATCAATAGAAATGGTCGAATGGAAAGTCTATCTTGTCGATGAGCATTCAAAATGAGCTGTTGAACTTCTAAATTAAGAAGCAATTTGAGTGTATCTTTACGATTGAGCCAAACAGAAACTTTCGAAGCATAACGAACATTTTGTTGTAATTCAACTAAAATTTGACGAACGATTGTTGAATCAACAAGTGGAGAATTGAATAAACGATCGGCAACGAATATGACACGGAAACAATTATTGGTGTGAAACATCGTCTTGACAGTATCGATTAAATTAGGAATATCTGAACCATTGATAATTAATTCTAATGCAGCATATTGTGCAAAATCTTCTAAATTTTCATCCATTTGATATTTGAGCCATTGTTTAATTACGGGAATCGCTCTTTTATCGATCGATACACATTTAGAAATGCATTTAATAACAGAAGAAATGTCTGGCTCTTTCAACGTTGGTAGATAGTTTGTAATCAATGTTGCTATTTCAGAAGTCATTACTTTTGCACTTCTTGGCAATTGAGTCCATAATTGTCTAAAAACCGTTATAAATGAAGAACATACTTGATCCGGATCTTTTTTAATATTAATTGGAAGATTCTGAATATCAAAAGTTAATTCAACTAAATACATAACTGATAAAAGACTCATATTACACGACTGAAAGACCGATGTATCACGAAAATAACGATAGAATGTTGTGGAATTGAAATGAAGAAGATCAGATAAGTTATTTATTTTTCTAGCAAATTCTGATAAATAATTGGCCAGATCGCGATTATGAAGTTGTCGTAGTGCAAGGAATGCTGCCTCTTGCTCGTCGTTTGGTCTATTTTCAGCAGCTTCATTCAATTTTCTCCCGATGATAGTCGACATTTCTCGGAATAATTCAGGAAAAACTAGTCGTGCTCGATTACATCGGATAAATAGAAAAGTTAATGTTAATAACGGAAGATCTGGTATTAATGAATACATTAAACCAATCATTTCATCTTGCAGTTCATCTCTTTGTTCTCCAACAAAGATCAATGGATTATTCATATCTAAGAGATTACTAAAGACGACGATTCGTAGAATTGGATTGAATATATTCATGATCGCCAGATAGATCTTTTCACTTTTGACAGAAGGAAGACTATTTCGTTTTTCTTTATAAGAATATCGGTCTAAACGATGTTGAGCTTGATAAATTCGAGCGAGTGAAATAGATGCAGCAAAAAGTTGTAAATCATTCTCTTCAGAAATACGTTGACATTCCATATCGATAAGTGCTTCCCAACTAAACGACTCTTCAATAAAAAATCGATCACATAATTGAGGCTTTGCAATAAACCAGCTGATATCAGAATATGTTTCTCGAAACAGCGCTAGAGCGTAATTTTCTAAGGAATGCTCGATTAATAATGGTTTCAATATTGTTAAAGCACAAGGAAACATTGGCCCATCACCAATAATATTTCCAAGCTGCTTTAAACATTCTAGTAAGAATACAATTAATGGTAATGAATCTGTTTTATCAGTTGATGAGATTATCGTACAACAGTATAATTTTTGTAAAGATTCTGGTAAACACGTGAGCAAAACGAGTAATTTCTCTTGATTGACTTGATTGTTACTATGATCGATAAAATCAAACATGCGTCTCATATCAAACGTTCTGAGTTTTCTCAATGCAGCTTGACATGCTAATAAGAATGATTGGTTTTGTTCATTGGATGGATTTGAATGGGAAACGAACACGTTGAGTATTGTTTGAAGTTGAGATTGAATGAAAGATATATCGAATTTGGTGCAAGTACCTAACTTCATGCATAGACCTGATATCATCAAATGATACCAACTCCATTTAAATCTTTCGAGTGCCAGTGGTAATGCTTGATAGTTTTCATACTTTCGATAGATCGATGTCTGAGACAGACCTTGTAAACAGATGAAAGCAATAAAAGTATCGATTATAACAGATGAAGTATCTGATGGGGAAGATGCCTCCAGAAAATTTTGATAATAATCGATAAGTGTTTGAATTTTGATTGAATGAGGTTCTTTGTTATTATCGAAATAGTCCATAATCGGAGCTAAGATAGTAGATTCACGATGCATCTTTTTTGTTGCGAAATGAATTTTAAGCATCCCATTTTCAATTTTATAATATACACCTCCACATACTTCGATAATAACGGATAGTATCAAAGGATGAATATTCAGTAAGTCATTATCGTATGATGATAAATATGAGGAGAAATCAACATTAAAAATCTGATCAGTTATGTTGTCTTTTACCATCACACTTCGCAATACTTGATCAATATCGAACTCAATCGAGAGACTCTTATTATGTAACGACCATAATTGTCGATAGACAACATTCGGTAACTTCGAAACATAATGAATTCTTTCGGACTTTTTGTTACGTTTTGTCTCAAGACATTCACAAAATTTCGAAATGGAGTTGTAATCTTTCAAAGATGATTGCATCCATTTTATGATAATATCATCTCGTAATCGAGATAAACTCCAAAAGAAACATGTTGATCCAATAAGCTTAGAGGGATGATCAAATAGAGTATTTAATGCTTGAAGAAGAACTGAACTTGATGGAAGTATTTTCAAATCGTTGAAAGTATCAAAGAGTAGAATTGTTCCAAAGGGAATTGAATAATCTTTGGTGGAAGTAAGAAGCAAATGACAGAATTGATTATAAGCATCAAATGACAAATTGAAACTAATCCATGCAACAGCCAAAACAAGTGGCTCATGAAAACGAGAATCAACAGTGAATGAAACAATACGTTCTGCAATTTTTTCAATCGAACAAGTTTTTACAAGAGATTGAGCGACAAAATATTCTTGAATTGATAAATGTTGAAAAGCAAATACTTGTAAACCTCGTTCGACAACAAAAGTGATGTTGTGTTCTAGTAAAGATATTAATTGATTGGTATATTTCTGTAATTCTCGACGATTATTTGATAAACCATGCTGTTGAAAAGTTAAATAACATAGACGCTGAATATCGAATTCATCGATAAGACCAGATGGAGAATGTAAATGGAGATAAGTAGCAAGATTGATGAAAAAATCCATGAGAATATTTTTCGAGATGTTCACTTTTCGAAACTTCCAGAGACGAAATGAGGCTTGCACAATATGAAAATACAATTGAATACGAAATTTGAGATCTAATTGCTCGGATGATTGAAAAATGTATGTGCAAATTAAAGATAATAATAAAGGATTTGATACGATTAATTTCGACTTCATTTCAAACATCGATTGTATATTATGGAGTCTTTTCTTTGATAAATTTTCGATCATGTGTTTATCTAATTCAATCGTTTCATTCTTCAAAATCTCAATCACATTTTCCTCTACTGATCTCATCCATTTTTTGGCAAATTCTTTTGCTTCTTCAGTTCTCAGGGCTAATAAGGAATAATGTTTGATAAATGGACCAATCAACGAATACAACTGGTAGCCAACAATACGACTTGTGACAATGATTTGATTACCACGAGATTGACTTGGTAATGGTGTTTCGATAGTTTCGGGAAAAGACAGGTACTTGTGTTTTCTGACCATTTTAGGATCAAATGTCGAAGTAAAATCCGGTGCACGAACATAATCATCGATGAATGTTCGAACGAGATTAACAATTTGTCCTCGTTGTTCAATATTGGCAATTTCATCAAGTCCATCAAGAAGAATTAAGGCATGACCATGATCGATCAATTTTTTCAAGATATGTTTATCATGATCCTCACAATAACGTTCGGAAAACCAAGTATGTTCTCCAATATAATCGATCAAAGTCCTCGGTGGAGGATGATTGAGCCATGCTGCAAATTCCCTAATTCGAATTAAAATTGGAATACGAACAAATTCTTCGTTATTGTGTAAAGTTTTTTCCGAGAAAAAACGGGTCAGCCATCGAAGAAGACTAGTTTTGCCACAACCTGGATCACTCAAGATCACAAGCCAGCGATTGGATTGTAATACACCTTCGATTCCTTCGCATTGATTCCTCTCAATTATTTCGATTGGCTTGATTGAAGGTAAAAAATGATTCGAATTATTAATTTGAGGAGATGAAATTTCATAACATTGTAAGACTTTCTTTGAACAATCGAGATCAATAGCAATATATTCGAGTTTTTTCTCAAGGCACTTTCGTCTTTCTGTAGTCAATGAAAGATCGGTTATTCCGTAAACTTTATAAAGAAGATCATCGAGATTTTCAAGTAAACCTAGTACGCGGATTTTCGAATGAAGAGAAAGACATTTTCGAAGATAATTTTGAAAAAAACCATGATATTCAGTAAATAATTCATTGAAACTTTTTCTTTCTCCAAAATCTGCTTGAAATTGCCGTTCACATTGTTCTAATCGACTTTCAAATTCCATTTTCTCTAAAAATCGTTCCCAACTGTCACTTTTCAGTTGCTTACTGTTTCGACCATTGGTTATACAAAGAATATCATCATGCCATTCCATCCAAAGTTCATATGATATTGAAGTATTATTAGCCATTAATCGGTTCATCTGTCGACAGAACAATCGAATCCAATCACTTTTTGAGAAATTTGATTCCAGTAATTGATTAAGACCATTTCGAATATTGATCAATATGAAATCTCCAGAAGGATCACGTGATGATGATAATAATTGTTTGTTGATTAATTCTATTACTCGTAGAATAATTCGATCCATAATTCTTATTTTAAGAATAGAAAAGACGATATTCGTCTAAATGAACATGATATAAAAGGTATTGTTTTCTTTAGACATGTCAAATGAAAAGGATGACTTGACTGAAAGCCGGATTATGTTGTTCTTTATTCTTGCTTACCTATAATGTCTGGTTTTGTGGTATGTACATCGGCGGCTCAGCAACAAAATTTTTGGTGTGGTAATTACTAAAAAAATCGTTTTGATGATTAGTTTTTGTCCGGTTGTCGATTATTTCAAATATTCTTGGTGTGGGAATTGCCACACTTTGGCACGTTGGCGGCCCGCCACTGGGCATGTATAGTATTTTTGCTCTCTTGTATTAATATTAGGTTGGTAAGAAATTTTTGTCGTTTTTTTTCGTAACTTCCTAGAACAGGGTCGGGTGTGGGTTTGAGTGTGGGTGTGGAGTGTGTGTGTGGATGTAGGTGTGGACGATTATCTTCTTTTTATCCATTCACATACACCCACACCCACGTTCATACCCACACCCAGCTCGGATGGGTTACGGTTCCACATTCGTCTTATTCTCCAGACTTGGCTCCTACGGACTACCATTTGTTCCGTTCTCTTTCTAACCATTTGAAGGAGAAAAAGTTCGACGACGAAAACGACCTGGAAATGGACCTCCTCAACTTCTTTAGCCAAAAGTCGCAGGACTTCTACGAACGCAGGATCCTTTCTCTACCAGAGCGTTGGCGATAAGTCATAGATAGTAGTGGAGCATACATTGTTGAAAGCTAGTTGTATTCTTGATATTAAAAAATAAAAAGAAAATTTTCAAAAAAAAAAAATGATAAAAATTTCTTACCAACCCAATATTAAGCTCCTCTTATTAGTCATTA